AGGGTAGAGGTGGCTACAGGTGCACTACAGGGTTAGGGCTATAGGATTGAGCTATAGGGTAGAGGTGGCTATAGGTGCACTACAGGGTTAGGGCTATAGGATTGAGCTATAGGGTAGAGGTGGCTATAGGTGCACTACAGGGTTAGGGCTATATGATTGAGCTATAGGGTAGAGGTGGCTATAGGTGCACTATAGGGTTAGGGCTATAAGATTGAGCTATAGGGTAGAGGTGGCTATAGGTGCACTACAGGGTTAGGGCTATAGGATTGAGCTATAGGGTAGAGGTGGCTATAGGTGCACTACAGGGTTAGGGCTATAGGATTGAGCCATAGGGTAGATGTGGCTATAGGTGCACTACAGGGTTAGTGCTATAGGATTGAGCAATAGGGTAGAGGTCGCTATATCTGCACTACATGGTTAGGGCTATAGGATTGAGCTATAGGGTAGAGGTGGCTATAGGTGCACTACAGGGTTAGGGCTATAGGATTGAGCTATAGGGTAGAGGTGGCTACAGGTGCACTACAGGGTTAGGGCTATAGGATTGAGCTATAGGGTAGAGGTGGCTATAGGTGCACTACAGGGTTAGGGCTATAGGATTGAGCCATAGGGTAGATGTGGCTATAGGTGCACTACAGGGGTAGGGCTATAGGATTGAGCTATAGGGTAGAGGTCGCTATATCTGCACTACATGGTTAGGGCTATAGGATTGAGCTATAGGGTAGAGGTGGCTACAGGTGCACTACAGGGTTAGGGCTATAGGATTGAGCTATAGGGTAGAGGTGGCTATAGGTGCACTACAGAGTTAGGGCTATAGGATTGAGCTATAGGGTAGAGGTGGCTACAGGTGCACTACAGGGTTAGGGCTATAGGATTGAGCTATAGGGTAGAGGTGGCTATAAGTGCACTACAGGGTTAAGGCTATAGGATTGAGCTATAGGGTAGAGGTGGCTACAGGTGCACTACAGGGTTAGGGCTATAGGATTGAGCTATAGGGTAGAGGTGGCTATAGGTGCACTACAGGGTTAGGGCTATAGGATTGAGCTATAGGGTAGAGGTGGCTACAGGTGCACTACAGGGTTAGGGCTATAGGATTGAGCTATAGGGTAGAGGTGGCTATAGGTGCACTACAGGGTTAGGGCTATAGGATTGAGCTACAGGGTCGAGGTAGCTATAGGTGATGGGGATGATGATGATGACGATGATTAGGATGATGAGGATGGTGATGATGATGATGAGGATGATGACGACGATGATGATGGTGATGATGACGATGATGACGATGACGACGTTGATGACGATGATGAGGATGATGACGATAACGATGATGATAATGACGACGATGATGACAATTATGATGATGAGGACGGTGATGACGACGATGATGACGACGATGATGATGACGATGATGACGATGATCACGACGATGATGACGACGACGATGACGATGATAACGATGATCACGACGACAATGACGACGACGATGATGATGACGACGACGACGATGATGACGATGATGTTGACGACGATGATGATGACGACGATGATGACGACGATGATGACGATGACGACTTTCTGCTGAGCAATCCATTTGTGAAGGCGAGGTGGCTCCTACGGTGGGCTGAGGGACGCCCTAGTTGTACTGTAGTATCTATGTGTCTGGGTGATTGTGTTGTACTCGCTGTCGTGTTTGGTGTTATGATCGGTGGTGGTTGTCGTTGTAACGTTCAGACCCTGTGCCACTTACAGGACATCTGTAATTTACAATAAAAGCGATTTGTAGCTGTTCGGATTTCCCCGTCCAGTATAAATCACAGCAGTAGAGTATCGTAGTGTCGTAGTGTATAGTAGTGTGTAGTAGTGTATAGTAGTAGTGTGTAGTAGTGTATAGTAGTGTGTAGTAGTGTATAGTAGTGTGTAGTAGTGTATAGTAGTAGTGTGTAGTAGTGTATAGTAGTAGTGTAGTAGTGTATAGTAGTGTAGTAGTGTATAGTAGTGTAGTAGTGTATAGTAGTAGTGTAGTAGTGTATAGTAGTGTAGTAGTGTATAGTAGTAGTGTATAGTAGTGTAGTAGTGTATAGTAGTAGTGTATAGTAGTGTTGTAGTGTATAGTAGTGTAGTAGTGTATAGTAGTGTATTAGTGTATAGTAGTGTAGGAGTGTATAGTAGTGTAGTGTGTATAGTGGTGTAGTGTTGTAGTGTAGAGTAGTGTAGTAGTGTATAGTAATGTAGTAGTGTATAGTAGTGTAGGAGTGTATAGTAGTGTATAGTAGTGTAGGAGTGTATAGTAGTGTGTAGTAGTGTATAGTAGTGTAGTAGTGTATAGTAGTGTAGGAGTGTATAGTAGTGTGTAGTAGTGTATCGTAGTGTTGTAGTGTATAGTAGTGTAGAGTAGTGTAGTAGTGTAGTATAGTAGTGTAGTAGTGTATAGTAATGTATAGTAGTGTATAGTAGTATAGTAGTGTTGTAGTGTATAGTAGTGTATCGTAGTGTTGTAGTGTATAGTAATGTAGTAGTGTATAGTAGTGTGTAGTAGTGTATAGTAGTGTTGTAGTGTATAGTAGTGTAGTAGTGTTGTAGTGTATAGTAATGTAGTAGTGTATAGTAGTGTGTAGTAGTGTATAGTAGTGTAGTAGTGTGTAGTAGTGTATAGTAGTGTAGTAGTGTGTAGTAGTGTATAGTAGTGTGTAGTAGTGTATAGTAGTGTAGTAGTGTATAGTATAGTAGTGTAGTAGTAGTGTGTAGTAGTGTATAGTAGTGGAGTGTATAATAATGTGTTTGTGTGTTCAGGTGTCACGTGACGTGTAATAATAATGTGTTTGTGTGTTCAGGTGTCACGTGACGTGTAGTAATAATGTGTTTGTGTGTTCAGGTGTCCCGTGCTGTGTAGTAATAATGTGTTTGTGTGTTCAGGTGTCACGTGACGTGTAGTAATAATGTGTTTGTGTGTTCAGGCGTCACGTGACGTGTAATAATGTGTTTGTGTGTTCAGGTGTCACGTGACGTGTCGTAATAATGTGTTTGTGTGTTCAGGCGTCACGTGACGTGTGGTAATAATGTGTTTGTGTGTTCAAGCATCACGTGCTGTGTAGTAATAATGTGTTTGTGTGTTCAGGCATCACGTGACGTGTAATAATAATGTGTTTGCGTGTTCAGGTGTCACGTGCTGTGTAGTAATAATGTGTTTGTGTGTTCAGGTATCACGTGACGTGTAATAATAATGTGTTTGTGTGTTCAGGTGTCACGTGACGTGTAATAATGTGTTTGTGTGATCAGGTGTCACGTGACGTGTAATAATAATGTGTTTGTGTGTTCAGGCGTCACGTGACGTGTAATAATAATGTTTTTGCGTGGTCAGGCCTCACGTGACGTGTAGTAATAATGTGTTTGTGTGTTCAGGTGTCACGTGACGTGTAGTAATAATGTGTTTGTGTGTTCAGGTGTCACGTGACGTGTAGTAATAATGTGTTTGTGTGTTCAGGTGTCACGTGACGTGTAGTAATAATGTGTTTGTGTGTTCAGGTGTCACGTGACGTGTAGTAATAATGTTTGTGTGTTCAGGTATCACATGACGTGTAGTAATAATGTGTTTGTGTGTTCAGGTGTCACGTGACGTGTAATAATAATGTGTTTGTGGGTTCAGGTGTCACGTGCTGTGTAGTAATAATGTGTTTGTGTGTTCAGGTGTCACGTGACGTGTATTAATAATGTGTTTGTGTGTTCAGGCGTCACGTGACGTGTAGTAATAATGTGTTTGTGTGTTCAGGTGTCACGTGACGTGTAATAATAATGTGTTTGCGTGGTCAGGCGTCACGTGACGTGTAGTAATAATGTGTTTGTGTGTTCAGGTGTCACGTGACGTGTAGTAATAATGTGTTTGTGTGTTCAGGCGTCACAGTGCTGTGTAGCAATAATGTGTTTGTGTGTTCAGGTGTCACGTGACGTGTAGTAATAATGTGTTTGTGTATTTAGGTGTCACGTGACGTGTAGTAATAATGTGTTTGTGTGTTCAGGCATCACGTGACGTGTAGTAATAAAGTTTATGTGTTCAGGCGTCACGTGACGCGTAGTAATAATGTGTTTGTGTATTTACGATATGAAATTGTGCTGAATAAACATCGGCAAACACGTCGTGCTGTTAACAAGTGACTGCTGTAGACTCGACCGGACTTACCATCGAAGATCGACGATGACCATAATGATCGATGATAATATATCGATGATCATAATCGGTGATTATCGATAATGATAATCGATTATGATCGATGATAATGATCGATGATGATAATGATCGATGATGGACTGTACTCGATTTCTGATTCCGAGGAAACGCCTTTGCGCGATGACGTCACCACGTATCCCCGCCCCCTCACCCCGCCCCCTCACCCCATCGCCCCCCCCCCACAACCCTAGTCCCGTCCTCACATTTAGCCCCGCCCCTTTATCCCCACCCCGCCCTACTCACCCTCTAGCCCCACCCCTTATCCCCCTAGCCCCGCCCCCAACAACCCGAGTCCCGCCCTTCCACCCTTAGCCCTGCCCACCCTTAGCCCGACCCGCTCACCCCATAGCCCCCACCCCTCCCTCATCCCCCCTCACCCCGCCCCCCGTGGTCACGTGCCCTTGCGGTTCCAGCTCAGTCACATGACGGAGCGGGTGACGGTGATGGTGGTGATGGCGTTGGGGTGAAGACTTCTCTCTCTGTCTTTCTGTGTTTCTCTCTTTCTCTCTCTGACTCTCTGTGTCTGACTCTGTGTCTCTCTGTCTCCCTCTGTCTCTCGGTGTCTCTGTGTCTCTCGGTGTCTCTGTGTCTCTGTCTCTCTGTCTCTCTCTGACTCTGTGTGTCTGTGTCTCTCTGTCTCCCTCTGTCTCTCGGTGTCTCTGTGTCTCTCTGTCTGTCTGTGTCTCTGTCTCTCTCTGACTCTGTGTGTCTGTGTCTCTCTGTCTCTCTCTGACTCTGTGTGTCTGTCTCTCTGTCTCTCTCTGACTCTGTGTGTCTGTGTCTCTGTCTCTCTGTGTCTCTCTGTGTCTCTCTCTGTCTCTGTCTCTCTGTGTCTCTGTCTCTGTCTGTCTGTGTCTCTCTCTGTCTCTCTGTGTCTCTGTCTCTCTCTGTGTCTCTCTGCTGACCACTGACCACGACAGCCACGGCGGGGATTTTGTAAGAGGGGCGAACAAAATATCGGAGGCGACATTTCCACCACCACCGCTCCACCACCGCCGCTCCTCCACCACCGCTCTTCCACCACCGCTCCACCACCACCGCTCCTCCACCACCGCTCCTGCCCCGACTCCGCTTCCTCCTTTGACGTTTGGAAGTTTCGCGGCGACCCGCGGGGCGATGGGACGGAGTCGGCGCTGAGCCGGGCCTGAGTCGGGGCCACCTCCTCAGGTAGGCCACGCGAGGCTGAGTCGGGGCCACCTCCTCAGGTAGGCCACGCGGGGCTGAGTCGGGGCCACCTCCTCAGGTAGGCCACGCGAGGCTGAGTCGGGGCCACCTCCTCAGGTAGGCCACGCGAGGCTGAGTCGGGGCCACCTCCTCAGGTAGGCCACGCGGGGCTGAGTTGGGGCCACCTCCTCAGGTAGGCCACGCGAGGCTGAGTCGGGGTCACCTCAGGTAGGCCACGCGAGGCTGAGTTGGGGCCACCTCAGGTAGGCCACGCGAGGCTGAGTCGAGGCCACCTCAGGTAGGCCACGCGAGGCTGAGTTGGGGCCACCTCAGGTAGGCCACGCGGGGCTGGGGGTTGCAGGCGCCAGAGTTCACCATCGCGAACTAAGCCAGCAGACAGCAGCAGACAGACAGACAGCAGACAGCAGCAGACAGACAGCAGCAGCAACAGCAGACAGCAATAGCAGCAGACAGACAGCAGCCAGACAGAATCAGACAGACAGCAGCAGACAGCAGCAGACAGACAGCAGCAGACAGCAGCAGACAGACAGCAGACAGACAGACAGCAGCAGACAGCAGCAGACAGACAGCAGGCAGCAGCAGACAGCAGCAGCAGCAGACAGCAGCAGACAGCAGCAGCAGAAGGCAGTAGCAGCAGTAGAGGCGGCTTCTCGAGCCTGAGGCCTGCAGGCCCTCGGCTTCGTCTTCGACTCCAGACGCCACCCCTCTTGGCCTCCTCTTCCACTCCGCTTTTCGACCCGCTGTGTTGGGATGGTGTACGTGGTAGTAGAGGTGTGTGTGGTGGTAGAGGTTTGTGTGGTAGTAGAGGTGTGTGTGGTAGTAGAGGTGTGTGTGGTAGTAGAGGTGTGTGTGTGTGTGGTAGTAGAGGTGTGTGTGTGTGTGGTAGTGGAGGTGTGTGTGTGTGTGTGGTAGTAGAGGTGTGTGTGGTGGTAGAGGTGTGTGTGGTAGTAGAGGTGTGTGTGGTGGTAGAGGTGTGTGTGGTGGTAGAGGTGTGTGTGTGTGGTAGTAGAGGTGTGTGGTAGTAGAGGTGTGTGTGGTAGTAGAGGTGTGTGTGGTGGTAGAGGTGTGTGTGGTAGTAGAGGTGTGTGTGGTGGTAGAGGTGTGTGTGGTGGTAGAGGTGTGTGTGGTAGTAGAGGTGTGTGTGGTAGTAGAGGGGTGTGTGGTAGTAGAGGTGTGTGTGGTAGTAGAGGTGTGTGTGGTAGTAGAGGTGTGTGTGGTAGTAGAGGTGTGTGTGGTAGTAGAGGTGTGTGTGGTGGTAGAGGTGTGTGGTAGTAGAGGTGTGTGTGTGTGTGTGGTAGTAGAGGTCTGTGTGTGTGGTAGTAGAGGTGTGTGTGGTAGTAGAGGTGTGTGTGGTAGTAGAGGGGTGTGTGGTAGTAGAGGTGTGTGTGGTGGTAGAGGTGTGTGTGGTAGTAGAGGTGTGTGTGGTAGTAGAGGTGTGTGTGGTAGTAGAGGTGTGTGTGGTAGTAGAGGTGTGTGTGGTAGTAGAGGTGTGTGTGGTAGTAGAGGTGTGTGTGGTGGTAGAGGTGTGTGGTAGTAGAGGTGTGTGTGGTGGTAGAGGTGTGTGTGGTGGTAGAGGTGTGTGTGGTGGTAGAGGTGTATGTGTGTGTGGTAGTAGAGGTGTGTGTGGTAGTAGAGGTGTGTGTGGTAGTAGAGGTGTGTGTGGTGGTAGAGGTGTGTGTGGTAGTAGAGGTGTGTGTGGTGGTAGAGGTGTGTGTGGTGGTAGAGGTGTGTGTGGTAGTAGAGGTGTGTGTGGTAGTAGAGGGGTGTGTGGTAGTAGAGGTGTGTGTGGTAGTAGAGGTGTGTGTGGTAGTAGAGGTGTGTGTGGTAGTAGAGGTGTGTGTGGTAGTAGAGGTGTGTGTGGTGGTAGAGGTGTGTGGTAGTAGAGGTGTGTGTGGTAGAGGTGTGTGGTAGTAGAGGTGTGTGTGGTAGTAGAGGTGTGTGTGGTAGTAGAGGTGTGTGTGGTAGTAGAGGTGTGTGTGGTGGTAGAGGTGTGTGTGGTGGTAGAGGTGTGTGTGGTAGTAGAGGTGTGTGTGGTGGTAGAGGTGTGTGTGGTGGTAGAGGTGTATGTGTGTGTGGTGGTAGAGGTGTGTGTGTGGTAGAGGTGTGTGTGGTAGTAGAGGTGTGTGTGGTAGTAGAGGTGTGTGTGGTGGTAGAGGTGTGTGTGTGGTAGTAGAGGTGTGTGTGGTAGTAGAGGTGTGTGTGGTGGTAGAGGTGTGTGTGTGGTAGTAGAGGTGTGTGTGGTAGTAGAGGTGTGTGTGGTGGTAGAGGTGTGTGTGTGTGTGCTAGTAGAGGTGTGTGTGGTAGTAGAGGTGTGTGTGTGGTAGTAGAGTTGTGTGTGTGGTAGTAGAGGTGTGTGTGTGGTAGTAGAGGTGTGTGTGGTAGTAGAGGTGTGTGTGGTGGTAGAGGTGTGTGTGTGTGCGCTAGTAGAGGTGTGTGTGCTAGTAGAGGTGTGTGGTAGTAGAGGTGTGTGTGGTGGTAGAGGTGTGTGTGGTAGTAGAGGTGTGTGTGTGGTGGTAGAGGTGTGTGTGGTAGTAGAGGTGTGTGTGTGTGGTAGTAGAGGTGTGTGTGGTAGTAGAGGTGTGTGTGGTAGTAGAGGTGTGTGTGGTAGTAGAGGTGTGTGTGGTAGTAGAGTTGTGTGTGTGGTAGAGGTGTGTGTGGTAGAGGTGTGTGTGGTAGTAGAGGTGTGTGTGGTGGTAGAGGTGTGTGTGGTGGTAGAGGTGTGTGTGGTGGTAGAGGTGTGTGTGTGTGGTAGTAGAGGTGTGTGTGGTGGTAGAGGTGTGTGTGGTAGTAGAGGTGTATGTGGTGGTAGTAGAGGTGTGTGTGGTAGTAGAGGTGTGTGTGGTAGTAGAGGTGTGTGTGGTAGTAGAGGTGTGTGTGGTAGTAGAGGGGTGTGTGGTAGTAGAGGTGTGTGTGGTAGTAGAGGTGTGTGTGGTAGTAGAGGTGTGTGTGGTAGTAGAGGTGTGTGTGGTGGTAGAGGTGTGTGTGGTGGTAGAGGTGTGTGGTAGTAGAGGTGTGTGTGGTGGTAGAGGTGTGTGTGGTAGTAGAGGTGTGTGGTAGTAGAGGTGTGTGTGGTAGAGGTGTGTGGTAGTAGAGGTGTGTGTGGTAGTAGAGGTGTGTGTGGTAGTAGAGGTGTGTGTGGTGGTAGAGGTGTGTGTGGTAGTAGAGGTGTGTGGTAGTAGAGGTGTGTGTGGTAGAGGTGTGTGGTAGTAGAGGTGTGTGTGGTAGTAGAGGTGTGTGTGTGGTAGTAGAGGTGTGTGTGTGGTAGTAGAGGTGTGTGTGGTGGTAGAGGTGTGTGTGGTGGTAGAGGTGTGTGGTAGTAGAGGTGTGTGTGTGATAGTAGAGGTGTGTGTGGTAGAGGTGTGTGTGTGTGGTAGAGGTGTGTGTGTGTGTGTGGTAGTAGAGGTGTGTGTGTGTGTGTGGTAGTAGAGGTGTGTGTGGTAGTAGAGGTGTGTGGTAGTAGAGGTGTGTGGTAGTAGAGGTGTGTGTGTGGTAGTAGAGGTGTGTGTGGTAGTAGAGGTGTGTGTGGTAGTAGAGGTGTGTGTGGTAGTAGAGGTGTGTGTGGTAGTAGAGGTGTGTGTGGTAGTAGAGGTGTGTGTGGTAGTAGAGGTGTGTGTGGTAGTAGAGGTGTGTGTGGTAGTAGAGGTGTGTGTGGTAGTAGAGGTGTGTGTGTGTGTGTGGTAGTAGAGCCGTGTGTGGTAGTAGAGGTGTGTGTGGTAGTAGAGGTGTGTGGTAGTAGAGGTGTGTGTGTGGTAGTAGAGGTGTGTGTGTGGTAGTAGAGGTGTGTGTGGTAGTAGAGGTGTGTGGTAGTAGAGGTGTGTGTGGTAGTAGAGGTGTGTGTGGTAGTAGAGGTGTGTGTGGTAGTAGAGGTGTGTGTGGTAGTAGAGGTGTGTGTGGTAGTAGAGGTGTGTGTGGTAGTAGAGGTGTGTGTGGTAGTAGAGGTGTGTGTGTGTGGTAGTAGAGGTGTGTGTGTGATAGTAGAGGTGTGTGTGTGGTAGTAGAGGTTTGTGTGGTAGTAGATGTGTGTGTGTTAGTAGAGGTGTGTGGTAGTAGAGGTGTGTGTGGTAGTAGAGGTGTGTGTGATAGTAGAGGTGTGTGGTAGTAGAGGTGTGTGTGGTAGTAGAGGTGTGTGTGTGTGTGGTAGTAGAGGTGTGTGTGTGTGTGGTAGTAGAGGTGTGTGTGTGTGTGGTAGTAGAGGTGTGTGTGTGTGTGGTAGTAGAGGTGTGTGTGGTAGTAGAGGTGTGTGTGGTAGTAGAGGTGTGTGTGGTAGTAGAGGTGTGTGTAGTAGTAGAGGTGTGTGTGGTAGTAGAGGTGTGTGTGGTAGTAGAGGTGTGTGTGGTGGTAGAGGTGTGTGTGGTGGTAGAGGTGTGTGTGGTAGTAGAGGTGTGTGTGTGTGTGGTAGTAGAGGTGTGTGTGGTAGTAGAGGTGTGTGTGTGTGTGGTAGTAGAGGTCTGTGTGTGTGGTAGTAGAGGTGTGTGTGGTAGTAGAGGTGTGTGTGGTAGTAGAGGGGTGTGTGGTAGTAGAGGTGTGTGTGGTGGTAGAGGTGTGTGTGTGTGTGTGGTGGTAGAGGTGTGTGTGGTAGTAGAGGTGTGTGGTAGTAGAGGTGTGTGTGGTAGTAGAGGTGTGTGGTAGTAGAGGTGTGTGTGGTAGAGGTGTGTGTGGTAGTAGAGGTGTGTGTGGTGGTAGAGGTGTGTGTGGTGGTAGAGGTGTGTGTGGTAGTAGAGGTGTGTGTGGTAGTAGAGGTGTGTGTGGTAGTAGAGGTGTGTGTGTGGTAGTAGAGGTGTGAGTGTGTGTGGTAGTAGAGGTGTGTGTGTGGTAGTAGAGGTGTGAGTGTGTGTGGTAGTAGAGGTGTGTGTGTGTGTGGTAGTAGAGGTGTGTGTGTGTGTGTGGTAGTAGAGGTGTGTGTGTGTGTGGTAGTAGAGGTGTGTGTGTGTGGTAGTAGAGGTGTGTGTGTGATAGTAGAGGTGTGTGTGTGGTAGTAGAGGTGTGTGGTAGTAGAGGTGTGTGTGGTAGTAGAGGTGTGTGTGTGTGTGGTAGTAGAGGTGTGTGTGGTAGTAGAGGTGTGTGTGATAGTAGAGGTGTGTGTGTGATAGTAGAGGTGTGTGTGTGGTAGTAGAGGTGTGAGTGTGTGTGGTAGTAGAGGTGTGTGTGTGGTAGTAGAGGTGTGAGTGTGTGTGGTAGTAGAGGTGTGTGTGTGGTAGTAGAGGTGAGTGTGCGTGTCACCACACTGTGAGTGCCGTTACTATTTAAACTATGTAAAGTATTTATTTTTACCCTCCCCTGTGAAGAAGGCCGACTGAGATATGTGACTTTTACTGGTAGGAACCTGACCACCACAAATGATAGGTCAACGAAGTCGCTGATGTCATCATCATCACGTGGAAATTCATAGCGGCAGCCAAAACACTTTGAAATGCGTGACATTGATTCTAAATGTGGAAAGAAAAACCTGAGGACCCGGAGAAAAATCCATGCAGTTACCATGGGGAGAGAGAGAGACGCAGACTCCAAATATACAGCAGCAGCAGCAGCAGGCATCGTCAGGGTTAGGATCAAACCCACGACCCCCTGTGTACCAGGCGAGGTAGTTAACATATCCTAGCCACTATGATGATGATGAGAGAGAGACGCAGACTCCAAATATACAGCAGCAGCAGCAGGCATCGTCAGGGTTAGGATCAAACCCACGACCCCCTGTGTACCAGGCGAGGTAGTTAACATATCCTAGCCACTATGATGATGATGAGAGAGAGACGCAGACTCCAAATATACAGCAGCAGCAGCAGGCATCGTCAGGGTTAGGATCAAACCCACGACCCCCTGTGTACCAGGCGAGGTAATTAACTTATCCTAGCCACTATGATGATGAGAGAGAGACGCAGACTCCAAATATACAGCAGCAGCGGCAGGCATCGTCAGGGTTAGGATCAAACCCACGACCCCCTGTGTACCAGGCGCAGTAGTTAACATCTCACCGCCGTGGCTAAGAGACGTTAACTCCACTGGCAGCATCGGCATCGTACGCCCTAAATGACCACAGAGCACGCGACGATTACAAATAATCCACGCCTCGAGTTTCCCTGGCTGGCTGTGCTGCTCTCCATGCAGACGGTAGCTCCGTTGTTGGTGGCTGCTGCTGCTGCAGCTAGCTGGGTAACTGGCTCCGCAGGACTTTCCGCGCCATAGCCACCCCGGAGAGAGGTGGGAGTAACACGTACGGAAGGCTGACCCACGGCTTGTTTTAAATTTGCTCTCAGCTTTTCAACCGCGCGTTCCTGTTTAGTGCATTGAGAATCGCCACGCGTTCAGGATGTTTTGGCCGCCGCTATAGATGCCCACGTGGTGGTGGCGATGCCGATGACGGTATCAGCCACGTCGTGTTGAGCTGCTGTCAATTGCGGTGGCCAGGTCGCTCCTGAAAAAGAGCTCGACACCGGCTCAATGGTGAGCCCCACCTCATTAAACAAAAATAGTTTCGTTTGGAGACTATTCTGGAGAATGGTGATTATCCAATATTCCGAGTGATGTGCACGCGCGCTCCCCGGTGTCACAGCGACCGTTACCGCCAGCGGGGCCGGGCTCCATGCTTGTACCGCTTGGGCACTGCCGCTACCCAAGTCTACAAACTTAGCGGCCCGGATCCTCTTCCATACCCCTTGGTGGAGCTGCTAGGATCCCCTAAGGTTAAGGCGACGCTTCCAAAATCTTCCTCCCGGCCTTTCTTGATGTCGTCGTTAAAGGTGCTTGATTTTACGTCGAACCCTTTGCACGCCACAAAGACAACAAAGATCCCCCGTATAGCCTTAACAGACTGTAGGGGCAAGTGCTGTTAGCGAGCACCTATGAAGGCCGGAACGGTACACGAGGGGGTGGGTGGCCAGCACCACGCCCGACCGCCTTTGTCTCCCCAGTGGCGATGTTTACACACCGCACCAGGTACTCATTTGAGGCTGAGTCGACCTAGGGGAGGCCCGGGACCGGTTCAGATAATCGTCACTGGTGTTGGCCGTGAGCGGGAATCGAACCCGGGTCGCCAGGTTCATAGCGCAGCGTAGCGCTAACCGCTACACCACCGCTCCCCACGCCACACGCATTGACACGCACACACACACGCACCCACCCCCGCGTCAATTCTCTCCAAAGCTTTGGCTTGACACTTGGGTACCTCTCAATTGCGTCTCGATGTAAGGTGTGGGCGACGTCTCTCAGAGGGTTGGGCTTGCACGGAGCGCGCAAACGAGGTGAAGTCCACCGACGCTTGCCGTGCTCGCCGTCACCGGGCTGAGCCGTCGTTTTTGCTCATGGTCACGTGGCGAGCGGACGGCGTCTCTCCACCTCCCCTGAGTCTCCCCTGAGTCTCCCCACTCCTCGCCGTGTCTCCTTCCCCATAATGTCCCCGTCCATCTCTCCTCCCCGTCGCCCTCCCCCCGTCGCCCTCCCTCCCCCGTGTGGCAGTGCTATGTCCGGGGCGGGGGGCGCCCCCCCCAAGGCGACGCTGCTCAAGGTGATCCTGCTGGGAGATGGCGGCGTGGGCAAGAGCTCGCTCATGAACCGCTACGTGAGCAACACCTTCGACGCCCAGAGCTTCCACACCATCGGCGTCGAGTTCCTCAACAAGGACCTCTCCGTGGACGGACGGTGAGCAGCGGGGGAGGGGGGGCTGTTGGAAGGGGCTGTGGCGCATGGCCGGGGCGAGCGGCCGAGCGGGCGAGCAGGTCTGGTGAGGGGCGTGGGCGAGTGAGTATAGGAGCGAGTGGATGAATGGTTGAGTTAGCGGGTGAGGTGGTTAGTCGGTGAACGAGTGATGGATGAGTGGATGGGTGGGTGGGTGAGTAAGTGGTTGAGTGAGTGAGCTAAACAGTTTTTTTTGGGTCAGATAGAGGGGGCTAAACGGGCTTGGCACGGGCTGGAGAAGAGATGGAGTGATACGGGAGGATGTGGAGCTGAGTGGACTTGCCGACGACTGGTAGCAGTGGTGTCAAGATCGGCGTCTGTGCAGGAGGCTCGTGAAGAACGCTGCTGCTGCTACTGGGCAGTTGGCACTGTGTAAATCAGGTCTAGGGGCAACCCCAGTGGCAGCTGGCCCTGTGCATCAGCCTGCTGCTGCCGGTAGGGCAAGGGGAGGGCGATGGCCGTGCGTGCGATCCCAAGCGGTGCGATTTTTCTTTCTTTAAAACTTGGCCCATGTGAAGCGCGTGGGATGCCGGGTGGCTCGACGGCGGACCCCCTAGCACGTGCCGTCGCGGCTGCCCAGTAGGACTGCAGGGAGGCTCCTCGATTATCCGTGCGTGCGCTTTATAGGATTTGACGTAATGTACCGACTGGAGGATTTTCCCTTAAGCCCAAATTAATAATGTAAAAAACCGTGAAACAACATTGCGTTTCTTGTAAATGTTTATTACAAGTCACGCGGTGCTTCAGCCGAACAAATATGTTGCTCCGGTTAATCCGACATCCACGTGATCGCCCCTACACTACAGTAGTTGCCATATCTTTCCACACAGTGGGGCTGAGTTTGATTGATGTCTGATTGGCTGTGGCTCCGATATCACCCGCTCAGTGGACCGAGTCTTCTGCTGGGCGGGAGCCAGGGAAGTGTTATCATCACTCGCATCGTCCATCGATAGGTCCAGCGTTAGTTTCTGGCACAGAGATCCGCGGAAAATGGTTTTATCTTTGGAGTATCCGCCATGTTGAATCATCCGTGTCCGCCCTACCTGTCATTAGCGGGCATCGAGAGCTCTGACTGTGATTATTATCGTCACTGCGGGATTAACCAGGGCACCACGGATCACCCCGAACGATCTCCCTTTGGCTGAATTTCCACCTGACGAAACTTTTGCGCGACGAGTGGATATCCCTCCAAGCCTCTCTTGGCAACCCCCCCGCCCACCCCGCCCACCCCCTTTGCCTCCCCCCCCCCCCCCCCCCGTGGCAAAAATAATCGTGAGTGAAATGGTTGGGGGGAAATAAATTGTAATTATTCAGTTTATTTATGTAAAGTGTGTTTACCCGAAGGGGACAGCGGGTGGTGGTGCTGTGGAGTGATCCCTTGCCACACTCACGGGAGAGGAGGCTCGCCAATCATCACACGCACAGAGACACACGCACAGACACACACGCAGACACACGTAGAGAGACAACAACAACAACCGGCATTCGCCACTAAGTGGCAGTGACGTCACCACGACGCTTGTGCCAGGCTATGTGCACATTAAGGCCACGCGAAGTATTGAATGCCCGCTGGCAGGAGGTCACGGGACAGACCCAGGTGACATGGGTCGACTGACTGAGATGATTGGCCGATGCACCATCTGTGCTCCCTACTGTGCCAACTTGAAGTGTTTTAGCCGCCCGGCGCTCCGCTTGCTGTTGTGAGCCTCGCTCCTCCGCGCTCCGTTGTTACTGGAGGGCGACTGCCCCCAACTGCCCAGTAGCGTCCGTCATGAGCCTCCTACACAGAGACCGATCTTGACACTGCTTGTACCAGTCATCAGCAAGTCCACTCAGCTCCACATCTTCTTGTACCGCATCACTCCATCTCTTCTCTAGCCCATGCCGCGCCCGTTTAGACCCTCTATCCAGCTGATTAAGACTTGTTTAGGCATGCGGTGGCTGGGCATGCGGGCTACATGACCCAGCCAACGCAGCCTGGCCTGCTGGAGGAGCTCACTCACACAATCCAGCCTGGTTAAACCCAGGATGGATCGTAGGCAGGCCAGCCTTAATTTTTCTCACTGGTGAATTTGTTCCATTCGGGGGGGGGGGGGTCCACGTTTCGCAAGCGTCGAGAAGGGAGGGAATGACCGTGACCGAGAAGACCTGAAGCTTCGTGCGGAACGACAGACCAGGTAGCTTCCACACAGCGTTACGCAACCGATGAAAAGATAATGACGCTTCACTGATTCGGAGTGAGACCTCTGCTGTCAAACCGGAGCCGGTCATGAGCACACTGCCCATGTATGGATAACTCTCCACTCTCTCCACAACTGCCCCATCACCAATTGGGAGTTGTGGGTGTGGAGTGTCCGATGGCACAAAATACCCAGGCAGGTGCTTAGTTTTGGTGGGGCTGATGGTAAGGCCCCACCTCTTAGTGGCAAGCTCCAGGTTCAGCAGCAGTGCCTCCAACTCCTGAGTGAGCAGCAATCACCAGGTCATCAGCATACATAATATGGTTGACCAATAGGAAGCCATCCCTTGACTGCACCCGGGCATTGATTAGCCTCCGATTGTATCTGAACCAGATGGAAATTCCTCCGGTACAGCTATCGAAGGTGTCACGAACTACGTGGTCAAAATAGATGTTAAATAATGTGGGAGCCAGAGGACATCCCTGTCGCCACCCCAAAGTGTACAGGGAATGGCTCTGACTCCTGGCCACGTAGTTTTACCCGGGCCTGCCCACCATCATGAAGGTCCTTAATGATCGTGAGCATTAAGTCAGGGACTCCGAAAGTACGAAGAACAACCCAGAGCCCAGGCCTACTAATGGGATCATAGGCTTTGACCAGGTCAATAAAGCAGAGATATAGGTCCTGTTGGAATTCCATACACCTCTGCTGTTGCAGACAGGACAGAAAATATGGCATCTGTGCAGGACCTGAAACCACATTCGGGCTCCGCAAGCCTCTCCTCAGCATGCCTGGGAAGGCGATGTTGAATCATCCTTGTCAGGGCCTTTCCCGGCACACTGAGGAGTGAGATGCCCCTGTAGTTGTTACAGTCTGTGCGGTCCCCCTTCTTAAAGAGGGGGACCACAAGGGCATCCTTCCAATCCTGCGGTACCCATCCAGTGGTCCAGACTTGTTATGATGTCATATAGGGCAGTCTGTGCACAAACGCCACCCTCCCTCAGCATTTTGCTTGGGAGATCATCTCTGCCCAGTGTTTTTCTTGGTCTCAGACTCTGAGACCAAGAAAAGCAACATATAGCACTTCAACCAGCCACTCACAGGGGGTGACTATTTCTTCCAATATTTGAGGCACTGCAGCCTCAGCAGGGTCATCCCAACTTTTCCCCATGATGTTTTCCAGACTGAGGAATTTCCCCTCCCCCAAGACCTCACAGCAATGCTCATCAAATCTTTCTTTCCCCTAATGATGGTGATTGGTGTGGCGCTGCAAGTCACTTTCTTTTTGGCGTTAAAGAGTGATTTGTGATCGCGGGCCACTGAGGCAGACTCCATCTCATCACCAACCTGCGACCACCACCCATCCTTGCAGCGCCACACGGTTCTCCGAAATTCCGAGCGAAGGCTGTGGTAAGCCTCCTCATTCTCTGATGTGGGATGCTTGAGACATTGGGAGTGGGCCTGTCGCGTTTTCTCAACCATCCTGAACACCTTCTCTGTCAGCCAGGGTCTCTGGGGAGGTCTGGACCGCGTACCCAAAGCAGCCATTGCAGCTGCACGAGTCACAGTCCTAAACCTCGCCCATTTACCCTCGACATCAGGAGGAGTGGGGGACGATGCCAACCCCAGCTGCAAGCGATGATGACATTCTCGCTTGCAACTTTCATCAGCTAGCTGAGACCAGGCCACTGTGGGTTTAAATGGGGTCCTGGGTGTATACCCACCACCGGAGTGGAAGAATGGCAGGCGCATCTTACAAATGACAAGTCAATGGTCAGTGGTCAGATCAGCTCCACGGTAGGTCCTGGTGTCAAGGACATGGGCCCGCATTCGCTGTTCCGTCACTTTGTAGTGCAGCAGATGTTCTTGCTTGGACCCAGCGTGCATCCATGATGTTGTGTGGATGCGCCGATGCCGGAACAGCGTGTTGGTAATTACAAGCCCACGGGCTGCACAGACGTCTAGCAGCCTTCTCGAGACACAGACACACAGACCACACACATACATACAGACACTCACACTTACAGATACACAGAGCTCCCTTGTAGACTCACTGACTAGACTGTTGGGGCAAGTGCTGTTAGCGATTCGCACCGATGAAGGCCGGCATGGCACACAAGTGGGTGGGTGGCCAGCCAGCACCACGCCTGGCCACCTTTGTCTCCCCGGTGGCGATGATTACCGCACACCACACCAGGCACTTAAGGCTGAGTCGACCTTACGGAGGCCCAGGTATTCATCGCTTGTGTCGGTGGCCTTGAGTGGGAATCGAACTCGGGTTTGTGTGCACCTGTGACCTTTTACAAAGACAAAAGATCCCCCGTACAGCCTTAGCAGACTGTTGGGGCAAGTTATTTTAGCGAACGCCTGCAGCGTGATATGAACACCATCACCGGGAGTGTACCCAACTCTCGATGGCAGTCAAACATCTCCTCCTCCTCCCGCGTCTCTCCACCTCCCCCGCCCACCCCGCGTCTCCCCTCCTCCTCCCCCGTATCCGCACTCCCTCCAGTGCGGTGACGATGCAGATCTGGGACACGGCGGGGCAAGAACGGTTCCGCAGCCTGCGAACTCCCTTCTACCGGGGCTCGGACGCCTGCCTGCTCACCTTCAGCCTGGACGACGCCCACTCGTTCCGCAGCCTGGACGCGTGGCGCTCCGAGTTTGCGTACTACGCGGACGTCGCCGCCCTGGACGCCTTCCCCTTCGTGCTGCTGGGGAACAAGCTGGACCTGCCGCACAGGGAGGTGAGAGAGTGAGAGAGAGTGTGAGTGAGTGTAAGTGTGAGAGTGTGAGTGAGAGAGAGTGAGAGAGTGTGAGAGAGTGTGAGTGAGAGTGAGTGAGAGATTGAGAGAGTGTGAGAGTGTGAGGGAGTGTGTGAGAGTGTGTGTGCGAGTGAGAGAGTGTGAGAGAGTGTGAGTGAGAGAGTGTGTGTGAGAGTGAGAGAGTGTGTGTGAGTGAGAGTGTGTGAATGAGTGAGAGAGTGTGTGAGTGTGTGTGAGTGAGAGTGTGAGTGAGAGAGTGTGAGAGAGAGAATGTGTGTGAGAGTGAGAGAGTGTGAGAGAGTGAAAGAGTGTGAGTGAGAGTGTGTGAGTGAGTGAGAGTGTGTAAGTGAGAGTGAGTGTGTGAGTGAGGGTGTGAGTGAGTGTGAGTGAGAGTGAGTGTGAGTGAGCGTGAGTGAGTGAGTGCGTGAGTGAGTGAGAGAGTGTGAGAGAGTGTGAGTGAGTGAGTGAGTGTGAGTGAGAGAGTGATTGAGTGAGTGAGAGAGTGAGAGTGTGAGTGAGAGTGAGTGAGAGAGTGTGAGTGAGAGACTGTGAGAGTGTGAGACTGAGTGAGTGTGAGAGAGTGTGAGTGAGAGAGTGTGAGAGAGTGAGAGTGTGAGTGAGAGAGTGTGAGAGAGTGTGAAAGAGTGTGAGAGAGTGTGAGACTGAGAGTGTGAGTGTGAGGGTGAGTGTGAGGGTGAGAGACTGAGAGATTGTGAGTGAGTGAGAGAGTGTGAGAGTAAGAGTGTGAGTGAGAGAGAGAGTGAGAGAGAGTGTGAGTGAGAGAGTGTGAGTGAGTGAGAGAGTGAGTGTGAAAGAGTGTGAGAGTGTGTGAGAGAGAGAGTGTGAGCCTGTGAGGGTGAGAGACTGAGAGAGTGTGAGAGAGTGTGAGAGAGTGTGTGAGTGAGAGAGTGTGTGAGTGTGTGTGAGAGTGTGAATGAGTGATAGAGTGTGAGAGAGTGTGTGTGAGAGAGTGTGTGTGAGAGTGAGAGAGTGTGTGAGTGAGCGTGAGTGAGTGAGTGAGAGAGTGTGAGAGAGTGTGAGAGAGTGTGTGTGAGAGTGAGAGAGTGTGTGAGTGTGAGTGTGTGTGAGAGTGTGTGAATGAGTGAGAGAGTGTGAGAGAGTGTGAGTGAGAGTGAGAGAGAGTGTGAGAGAGTGTGAGAGTGAGAGAGTGTGTGTGAGAGTGAGAGAGTGTGAGAGTGTGAGAGAGTGAGTGAGAGAGAGTGAGAGAGTAAAATGCACCAAGTTGGTACACTTGGGGGCACAGGTGGTGCATCAGCCAGGCATCTCAGTCATCTCAGTCAGTCGACCCGTGGCACCTGCTGGGTGTGTCCCGTGACCTCCTCCTGCACCCAGCCTGCAATCCATGGCACCTAGAGTCTAATCCGGTGACCTCCTGCTGCACCTACCCTGCTGCAGCAGTCAACTCATGGCACCTGCTGGGTCCGCCCTGTCACCTGTCGCCTGTCAGCGAGCCTTCAAACGCTTCACGTGGCCTCAAAGTGCACGTGGCCTCAAAGTGCACCTGGCCTGGCACAGGCGCCGTGGCGACATCGCCGCCACTGAGCGGCGAATTAGGGCTCCTGTTGTCGTTGTTGTCGTTGTGTGTCTCTGCTCACTCCTAACGGCCCGGCACAGACTACACGGGGTCCATGTCCCTGTGCGTGGTGTCCCAGGTGTCGGCCGAGGAGGTGTCGGCGTGGTGCCGCTCGCGCGGCGACGTGCCCTACTTCGAGACGAGCGCCCGCGACTCCACCAACGTGGCCCTGGCCTTCGAGGAGGCCGCCCGGCGCGCCATCACCTCCGACCTGCGGCAGGCCGGCGGCGGCGGCGGCGCCTTCACGGCGACGGACACTGTGTCGCTGGGTCGCCACGGCGACGGCAACTCCTCGCGGTCCTGCTGCTAGCACCCTCACCCACCCCCCACTCTCCCCCACCACCACCACCACCCACCACCACCACCCACCACCACCACCCACCACCAACACCACCACCCGCTAAGCCCACGGGGCTTGTAGGGACGGCTGCCGCTAGCAGATTTTGTTTCCGATTTTGACAAGTTAATTAGTTAATTGGCTGTAACTTACCACGGCAACATCCCCCCCCTCCTCCGCCCCCTCCTTACCGCCAGGTTCCAATTCACCTGCGGGCCAACACGGGGACAGCCGCCAGTAGGAGGGGGGGTTGGGGCGGGGGGGGGCGGTGTTGGGGGTAGCGTGGCCGTGTGGGAGAGGAGGCACTCGGGAGGTGCCGAGCCGTTGGTGGCGGCAGTCGCGTTCGAAGTTGTGGTGGCGATAGTGGCGGTGGTGGTGACGGTGGTGGTGGCGATAGTGGCGGTGGTGGTGGCGATAGTGGCGGTGGTGGTGGCGATAGTGGCGGTGGTGGTGGCGGTGGTGGTGGCGATAGTGGCGGTGGTGGTGGCGATAGTGGCGGTGGTGGTGGCGATAGTGGCTGCGGCGGCGGTGGTGGTGACGGCGGTGGTCGCCTCTCGGCCCCACGGCAGATTTCCGCGAGGTGCTTTAAGAGGCACCTCGGCTGCCGTGTTGGATGCTTGTGAAGTCTCCAGCTGTAACGTCGGACGGCCGTGTCGGCCTCCGGCAGATTTGTCCGGGACGCTTTGCGCCTGAACGTGGACGGGCCTCCGCGGATTTTGAGGTGCGGAAATCCGGTCGTGAACCGTCGCTTGCGTAGGCAGGCCTTTCCTGCTCCACACCGCCAGGGCCTCAGTCTGCGGCTCTCGCCTGGACAAGGCCGGGGCTTGGTCTGGCCGAGCGGGAAAGCACCGGACCGGGCCTAAGCCGGATTGAAACTCCCGCAATGTGTTTGACGTTTGTATTTAACAAACTTACACCTTGGCACTGAATTGAGTGGGGGGGGGCGAGACTTAGGCCCCAATGCATTGATTTGATTGTGTGGGGGGCCTAGCATATGTGATAAGCCCAGCTAAGGCTTCAAGCTGGGCGGAAATCTTTCTGACTTTGACTTCTTTGGCTCTCCTTCATATTCATCTCAGAGACTCCGTGAATCCCTCCGCTCCAACTCAAGTAATATAGCCTGACTCTCCCAGGACCAGAGTCTCGGCTCAGACCGGGTTCCAGGACCAGAGTCTCGGCTCAGACCGGGTTCCAGGACCAGAGTCTTGACTCAGACCTGGCTCAGACCGGGTTCCAGGACCAGAGTCTCGGCTCAGACCTGGCTCAGACCGGGTTCCAGGACCAGAGTCTTGGCTCAGACCGGGTTCCAGGACCAGAGTCTTGGCTCAGACCGGGTTCCAGGACCAGAGTCTTGGCTCAGACCGGGTTCCAGGACCAGAGTCTTGGCTCAGACCGGGTTCCAGGACCAGAGCCTTGGCTCAGACCGGGTTCCAGGATCAGAGTCTTGGCTCAGACCGGGTTCCAGGATCAGAGTCTCGGCTCAGACCGGGTTCCAGGACCAGGGCAGTGCAACCCTTCGCTGTGGAGAACGGTCCACGGAAGCGGACATGACAGAGTTACCTCTGCCTCACGTGACCTCAGGTGACCTCAGGTGACCTCTCATCCACGCGCAGTAAGGGGCAGCATCTCTCCAAGTTGCCCCGCTACGTCGAGGGTCGCGTTCAGCACGTGACGGTAAACCCAATGTTGCTCATTCCCAGAGCTGGAATTTAGCCAAATTAAATGCAGAACCAAATTTAATGTGTTAGGATTATATTTTTTGTGCGGTCGCTGGTCTAATACCAACCACTCGCTACACTTGAGAACCCGGTTTAATGACAACTCACTCCGTGCGAATCTGTGGATCTCCGTAGGTCTCCGTGTAAGTCTGGGGGTCTCCGTGCGAGTCTGTGGGTCTCCGTGCGAGTCTGTGGGTCTCCGTGCGAGTCTGTGGGTCTCCGTGCGAGTCTGTAGGTCTCCGTGCGAGTCTGTGGGTCTCCGTGCGAGTCTGTGGGTCTCCGTGCGAGTCTGGGTCTACGTGCGAGTCTGTGGGTCTCCGTGCGAGTCTGTGGGTCTCTGTGTGAGTCTTCGGGTATCCGTGTGAGTCAGTAGGTCTTTGTACGAGTCCGTGAGTCTCCGTGTGAGTCTGTGGGTCTCTGTGCGAGTCCGTGAGTCAATAAAAATCCGGTGTAATCACTCTGGTTTGGGCGGCTGAAAGCCGGATTGGAAGCTGAGATTCTCAGCGGTGCTGTCAGATCGGCACCACCCACCCACCCCTCCACCCACCCCTCCACCTACCCATCTGGTCTCCCCCACCCACTCCTCCACCCACCCACCCTATCTCCCCCACCCACCCACCTGGTCTCCTCCACCCACCCCTCCACCCACCTGGTCTCCCCCACCCTTCCACCCACCCACCCCTCCACCCACCCATCTGGTCTCCCCCACCCACCCACCCCTCCACCCACCCATCTGGTCTCCCCCCACCCACCCACCCCTCCACCCACCCATCTGGTCTCCCCCACCCACTCCTCCACCCACCCTATCTCCCCCACCCACCCACCTGGTCTCCACCCACCCCTCCACCCAGCCCTCCACCCACCCACCTGGTTTCCTCCACCCACCCACCCCTCCACCCACCCACCTGGTCTCCTCCACCCCTCCACCCACCCACCTGGTCTCCTCCACCCACCCCTCCACCCAGCCCTCCACCCACCCACCTGGTCTCCTCCACCCCTCCACCCACTCCTCCACCCACCCACCTGGTCTCCTCCACCCCTCCACCCACCCCTCCACCCACCCACCTACTTCCTCAATCCGATATCGCCACATCTGCTGCACACTCGACGTCTTCTTCCATTGCCGATTACTTTGGGATGATACAAAATAAGAGGGTAAATGTGCGTTACCGTAATTACTATTATTTGCTGTTATTATAAATTTGGTTTTAAATTAATGTTCCGACGTTAAGCAAATATTACCACACCTGGGTATAAGTGTGTGTTGGTGGTGTTGGGGTGTGTGGGTGAGTAGGGGTGTGTAGGGGTGGGTGAGCGTATTGGTGGTTCGGTGAGTGAACAAACGAGGCGGTGGACGAGTGGGTCAGCGAGTGAGTGGGCGAGCGGGTGAGTGGGCGAGCGAGTGGGTGGGCGAGCGAGTGGGTGAGCGAGTGGGTGGGTGAGCGAATGGGTGGGCGAGTGGGTGGGCGAGTGAGTGGGCGAGTGAGTGGGCGAGTGAGTGGGCGAGTGAGTGGGCGAGTGAGCGGGCGAGCGAGTGGGTGAGCGAACGAGCGTGTCCATGAGCTAGGAGTGGGTGACTGGGCAAAAGTGTGGGTGGGTGAGCGAGCGAATACGAGAGCGTGCAAATGAGTGGATTGAATTGTGGGAGAGTGAGCGGGTGAATTGAATTGTGGGAGTGAGCGGGTGAGTGAGCGGGTGAATCGAAATTGTGGGAGTGAGCGGGTGAGTGAGTGAGTAATGGCGTGTGTGTAAATGAACGAGCGAGTGAATCGTGGGACAACGAGCGAACCGTTGTGTTATGGGAGGAGGATGGGTGGGTGGTTTACTCGCTCACTCGCCCGTACGTGCTGACGACAGAGTTTGTCAAACTTGACAGGAATTCTAATAAAGGCGACTCTTGAGAGTGACGACCCCACGCGATCTCTCCCTCTGCAAATCGCCAATCGGAGTTGGACACGGAGCTACGTGTAAACACACTGCGTAAAGCGCGCTGTGTAAACACGCACGCGAGCTCAAGCACAGCGAGCAGCGCCCAGTCTATTCCTATTCAATCCCTGGGTGGACCCTGACGCTGCTTCTCACCTCGCAGACGAACTCACGGTGCCTCACGGCCCCTGCCTGGGGTAGAGAGGGGCCCCTCGGGTAAAAACCCAGGGTACCATGTGACCCCCCCCCCACGAGACCCTACGTGGGTGCGTGTGTGTGTTGTAGAGGGGGTGTGCGCGTGTTCGTTTTGGGGGGTGCGAGGGGATAGCAGCGCTGGCAGAGTTGCTTCGTTGCTACGGCACCAAAAGTCTCTCCCTGCTGCACTGAAGCCGTGTTGAGTGAGTGGTCTCTCCCTGCTACACGTGAAGCCGTGTAGAGTGAGTGGTGTCTCCCTGCTGCACGTGAAGCCGTGTTGAGTGAGTGGTCTCTCCCTGCTGCACGTGAAGCCGTGTTGAGTGAGTGGTCTCTCCCTGCTACACGTGAAGCCGTGTTGAGTGAGTGATCTCTCCCTGCTGCACGTGAAGCCGTGTTGGGTGAGTGGTCCCTCCCTGCTGCACGTGAAGCCGTGTTGAGTGAGTGGTCTCTCCCTGCTGCACGTGAATCCGTGTTGAGTGAGTGGTCTCTCCCTGCTACACGTGAAGCCGTGTAGAGTGAGTGGTCTCTCCCTGCTACACGTGGAGCCGTGTTGAGTGGTCTCTCCCTGCTGCACGTGAAGCCATGTTGAGTGAGTGGTCTCTCCCTGCTGCACTGAAGCCGTGTTGAGTGAGTGGTCTCTCCCTGCTACACGTGAAGCCGTGTAGAGTGAGTGGTCTCTCCCTGCTACACGTGAAGCCGTATTGAGTGGTCTCTCCCTGCTGCAAGTGAAGCTGTGTTGAGTGAGTGGTCTCTCCCTGCTGCAAGTGACGCTGTGTTGAGTGAGTGGTCTCTCCCTGCTGCACGTGAAGCCGTGTTGAGTGAGTGGTGTCTACCTGTTGCATGTGAAGCCGTGTTGAGTGAGTGGTTTCTCCCTGCTGCATGTGAAGCCGTGTTGAGTGAGTGGTCTCTCCCTGCTGCACGTGAAGCCGTGTTGAGTGAGTGGTGTCTACCTGCTGCACATGAAGCAGTGTTGAGTGAGTGGTCTCTCACTGCTGCACGTGAAGCCGTGTTGAGTGAGTGGTGTCTCCCTGCTGCACGTGAAGTCGTGTTGAGTGAGTGGTCTCTCCCTGCTACACGTGAAGCCGTGTTGAGTGAGTGGTCTCTCCCTGCTGCATGTGAAGCCGTGTTGAGTGAGTGGTCTCTCCCTGCTGCATGTGAAGCCGTGTTGAGTGAGTGTTCTCTCTCTGCTGCATGTGAAGCCGTGTTGAGTGAGTGGTCTCTCCCTGCTGCACGTGAAGCCGTGTAGAGTGAGTGGTCTCTCTGCTGCACGTGAAGCCGTGTTGAGTGAGTGGTGTCTCCCTGCTGCCCGTAAAGTGTTGAGTGAGTGGTCTCTCCCTGCTGCACGTGAAGCCGTGTTGAGTGTGTGGTCTCTCCCTGCTGCATGTGAAGCCGTGTTGAGTGAGTGGTGTCTCCCTGCTACATGTGAAGCCGTGTTGAGTGAGTGGTGTCTCCCTGCTGCACGGTAAGCCGTGTAGAGTGCTTCAGTGGCTAGGAGATGTTAACGACCTCAGGAGGTCCTGGGTTCGATTCCGACGCTGACGATGCCTGCTGCTGCTGCTGCTGTAGATTTGACCTTTGCAACGTTTCATCTTCGCATGGTCGTGTGGATTTTTCTCCGGGTCCTCCCGCCGCGTTTAGAATCGACGTCGCCACGCATTCAGAGTATTTGGCTCACGCTATACATTTCCATGTGACGATGACGAGCCACTTCGCTTAAGCTGCCATTTGTTATAGCCGCGTCGCTTCTGAAATAGAGCAATGTAGGGCATCACACCTTGTAAAATATAAAATAGTTTAGCTTAAAGCTTTCCTCCGGCTCGTTCTGCCCAACCGAACGAGACTCCATTCACCAGCACCACCCGGGGAGCCGGCAGCCGGACTCACAAAACCGTGGGGACATCGACGGATCGACGGAGGGTCGCTGCTCAATGCAGTGGTCACTACGGCAAAGGCTCGACTCGCTCGACTCGCGCGACTCGCTAACTCTACGGGACGTCTGGACCAAAAAGAAATCCATTATCAAGCTGCGGCGTGTCCGTCCGGTGCCCGGCCAAACAGCGTTTGGCTTCCAGTTTGCTGAGCGAATACACAGCAACGTTGTTACACAAAGTGCTTGGCCACGAATGAGCCACAATACGGGCAGAGGCACCGGCTAACATGACAGATGCGTTCTTGAAAATCTTCTGGTTAGGTGACAATCGTGTTAACCGAACTGTTGTCTCCCATAAGAAGGCCTGCAAAGAGGGGTGGTTGCGTTTTAAGCCCCCGACTTAATCAACAAATGTTTCATTACTCGTCTTCACGACTCGACTGTAGACTCGATTATCCGCGCTAATTACGGGGAGAGCGGCCGCGTATAATTCAAAATCGCGGATAAGCCAAAAATATCCATTTTCTGCGGATGTCTCTGCCAAAAACCACGAATGAAAATTGTTTAAGTTAAGCAAATTGAGTTAATGAACCAAACGAATATTATCGATCAACCGATCGATGCTGCGCGTGCTCAGTGATGACACTGCAGAAGAGTCGGCCCACTGAGTGGGTGATAGCAAAGCCACAGCCAATCAACATCAATCAAACTCAGCCCTACTGTTGTAAAGATATGGCAACTACTGTAGTGTAGAGGCGATCACGTGGATTTCTGATTAATCAGAGCAACATATTTGTTCGGTTTAAGCACCACGTGACTTGTAATAAAAATGTCCAAGAATAACAATGTTGTTTAACTTTTAAAACTTTTATTTATCAATTTGGGCTTAAGGGAAAATCCACAAGTTATTCATTTACGTTAAAATCTCAGGCGCGCGCGGTTAATCCGCAAATCATATAAACCGCACGCACGGATCATCAAGTCTCGTACTGTATTTAGGTTAATGCTTTTTTATCGTTGCCTTTTTACGTACCATTTCAACTGCGTGAACAACACTTAAAATGCGCAGTGATAGAGGCAACGTGGAGAGAAGGACGTCGCAGTCTGCGCACGTGAGCCGTGGTGGGTGCAGTGGCGAGCAAGCGGGCATGGATCCGTCGTACAGAAGCGGTGGATTTCACCGATCCGAATGTTTCCGCGTCTGTAAAGCTCCTTGGAGACGTCCATCGTACGCACGTGAAGTCTTTTTTTTCCTTAAGCAATTACGTCGGTACAGCTCAGCAAAGTGTCGGCCCCGATGTGTCCCACCTCGGAGTCATTTAAAGAGGGGAAAAAGATCAGGAGCCAAAAGAACAATGAACGAGCCGACTTCAGCATTTTCTTGTTGTGGTTGTTCCACCTGATGAAGATTGCTTGAGTTGCGATCGAAACGTCGTCATTTATTTTATTTCTGCCTACGTCACTTT